GCATTCTACTTTGCTAACTACCAACTCAAAAAATTGAAGCATAGATAACTTTGGGTATATATAAATTGCATTCCCAGAAGTGAATGTAAACATATGTAAGATGCACATAGTCAGGTAAAACTATAGTTAATTAGAGCTAGGCCTGGCTCCTGGCATGGAGAGGAATTTTGTAGGAAGATCAGACTTGATGCTTCTGCCAGTCCCAAGGAATGGGAGAGCATTCCTAGCTAGTGGGACAAACAGTTTTCACAGTCCTGTTTTGTCAAACTAATATTTTTCAATTGATTCTGTAATTAAATTGAAAAATCATGTCGTACATCATTTCAAGGCTTTCTTTGCAAGATCTCTAACATGTAAACCAAAGGCTAACTCCTTTTTCCTTTCTCATTATGATTACAGAGGAACTCTGAAAAGTAATTAATCTTTAATCTGACTAACCTTTCAGAGCACTTAGAGTATTTAGATCAAAAGTGTTGAGCCCACAGTGAGAATTAAATATTCAGTTTTTCAGATGAAGTTTCAGGTTCAGTCTCACATTTGCCTAAGCCAGTTCCAGACATCTGTAACCTAAATATCCCACAAGAAATTAGGTCGTTTCTATTGTATCTGTCAGTTGCTTTAGATATTGCTGCTACCCAGAGGCCAGTGTTAAGTGCATGTTGGAAAAGTGTGCTTACACAAGGTGGAACCAAGCTTGGTTTCTCCAAAGGCCAACATCCTCCATGATGTCTAACAGTACAGCTTAGTGTGCCTGATGTTTTAGCTGATTTCATAGAATCATAGAATGGTTTGGGTTGGAAGGGACCTTAAAGATCATCTAGTTCCAACTTTCCTGCCATGGGCAGTGTGGAAGGGACCTTAAAGATCATCTAGTGTTCCATGCACTAGACCAGGTTACCCAGAGCACCATCTAGTCTGGTCTTGAACACTTCCAGGGATGGGGCATCCATGACTTCTCTGGGCAACCTGTTCCAGTGCCTCATTACCCTCGGAGTAACACACAGGTGAGGCTGCATTCCAGTGCCTCATTACCCTCGGAGTAACGCAGAGGTGAGGCTGCATCTCGAGTACTGTGTCCAGTTCTGTGTCCAGTTCTGGGCCTCTCACTTCTTGAAAGACATTGAGGTGCTGGAGTGTGTACAGAGAAGCACAGTGTATCTGGTGAAGGGTCTAGCAAGTAAGTCATATGAGGAGCAGCTAAGGGAGCTGGAGGTGGTTAGCCTGGAGAAAAGGAAGCTCAGGGGGGACTTTATCTCTCTCTGCAACTGTCTTAAAGGAGGTTGCAGCAAGATGGGTGTCAGCCTCTTCTCCCAGGCAGCTAGCAACAGGATGAGAGGACATAGCCTCAAACTGCACCAGGGGAAGTTGAGGTTGGACATCAGGAAGAATTTCTTCATGGAAAGAGTTGTTAAGCACTGGAATGGACTGGCCAAGGAGGTGGTGGAGTCACCATTCCTGGAGGTGTTCAAGAAATGACTGGATGTGACACTTAGTATCTAGTTGACAAGGTGATGATCGGTCAAAGGTTGAACTCAGTGATCTTGGAGGTCTTTTCCAACCTAAATGACTCTGTGAGTAAAGAATTTCTTCCTAACATATAAATCTCTCCTCTTTTAGTTTAAAACTGTTCCCCCTTGTCCTGTCACTCCATATCCTGGTAAAAGGTTGCTCTCCTTTTTTTAAGCCCCCTATAAGTACTGAAAGGTTGCAGTGAGGTCTCCCCTGAGCCTTGTCTTCTCCATGCTGAACAACCCCAACTCTTTCAGCCTTTGCAGGAGAGGTACTCAGCTTTGTGGCCTCCTCTGGACTCATTCTAACAGGCCCACATCTTTCATACGGTAAGGACTCCAGATGTGGACGCAGTGCTGCAGGTGGGGAAGTTGAGTATGCATATTAAAACAAAGGAAATAAAATTAAAAACAGGAAATAATTGAATGCCAGATTCTAGGCTAGAACAGGCATTATTTTAGTGTGTTTTGACTTGTATATAAGAAATACTTTTCCTCATAGGTCTTGCTTGCCAGATGATATTAATGTCAACATCATTTTCCCTCTTTTTTTCTTATAGTTGCTGGGATACAAATGAGCATGGTGGTCCCTGGTGGGTTATACGAATACCAATTTTAATTTCTATTATAGTAAGTAAACTTTGAAGCATGAATTATAGATCTGTTCAGCACTGTGCAGTGCATATAGCCATTATTCCTTACTGCTAGTTACAGACAGTCAAGAATTCTGTTTTAATGAAAAGAAATTGTGCCGTAGGAGAAATGTTAAACAGATGCTAAGGCCATTAAAATTTCTTGCCTTTAAAATTTATCTGCCTCCTATTAAATGAGCAGTTGCTTTTATTTGTATGTTCTTTCTTTAACATCTCTCCTGTTTATGAGCCTGGAGGAAGCAAAAATCTAATTATACTTTTCAATGAATTGCAGATTTGATTTTGTGTGTAAATAGATAGTCCTGCAATTGAGAATCTGATATTATTGCAGTCATAAAAAGCTATGGCTGTATATATCTTCTTCAATTGGTAGCCTACTGAAATATATATTGAACAAGAAGTATTTGCAAAATAATACCATTTGAGAATGTTTCACAGGGCAATTCTTATGTGGAACTCATTAGAATGACTGCAGTAGTATAATAGCATTCCTGTGCACTGTAATGATTGTGTAATTAACTTTGGGCATAATATGCTATGGTTATATGTCCATTTTTGAAAACAGAGTGCAAATTAATGCATTTCAGATATACTTGCTTCATTTTTAACATTGTAGGCAGAAAAACTAGGGCACTATTAGATTACACAAGATTTCAAGAGTTGGCATTATGCTTGGGCTTGCCTTTCAATCTGTGCCTGCTCAAAATCCTTTTGAGAAAACTTCCTATCATCTTCATCAGAGTGAATTCTACAGTTTAAAAAGAAAGCAGAGTAGGCATATGTGTGAAATGACATAAGGTAAGCACTCAGAGAAAAGATATTTTTGGCATATGTGTGAAATGACATAAGGTAAGGACTCACAGAAAAGATATTTTTACTATTAAGAAATGGGTATGCAACAGAACTACAGCAGGAAGAGAATGCCTGCACCTCAAAGGAGCTGGAGAGTAGGGAATGATCCAGAATGCAGAAAATGTGCTGAAAGATAAAAGCAAAACAAACCACCTGGTGTTTACAGAAAGATGAAAGTCTGTTCTCTGCTCAATTTAAGCAGCTATCTGGTAAACAGCTGAGACTTCATGTGCCAGAAGGTAGTGCTTCTCCAAAGCAGTCCTAGACCCAGAAACAGAAGTCATCCCAGGACATGTTGGCAGATCTAAATTGCAGCTGGATATAAGCAAAGACTGAGAAATGAGTTGTGAATTAAGAAAATAGAGTATTGGTTAGTCAGCAAAAGTCCAACGTAGCCACCAATATTGTGAGAGCAAGTTCCAATATCATTTTGCAAAGTGGGAATGGCTTCAGTTAATTCAATGTATCAAAAACCTTCCCTGGCGTTTTCTCCTGAAAATTTTGGCTTGAGAATAGATACTTGGCAGACTTTCACACTTCGTGCTGTACACACTTCAGAGCTGTTCAGTTGGGGATGACTATTCCAAATTAATGTACCATTGCCCATATTCTCCATTCAGCAGTGCCTCCACATCTGCCTTCTACAGTGCAGGTAGTGTAAAGCAGCAAGAAAGAAGAAACATGAAGACAGTTTAAATGTTCAGACTGTGTTTAGAATCAAAAATTTACTGTCAGCAGTAGAACAGGGTATCAGCAGCATCTTGCTGTTACTCTACCTGAAGAGCCATCATTTGTCATCACTCTCCTGTAGTTTCTCTACACTCTCATTATTTTCTCATTTTCCTGTTCTCAGGTGTTCATTGAATGGTATACATATTCTATTTCATTTAAAGACATTGTGCTCAAATGATTTTATGTGACTAAAAAGCTACAACACTGAAAGTGAAATTCCATGGCACTAGTCTTGTATTTCAGTGAAAAATACTATTATAAGTCATATATCTATTTTAAAGGATTTTAAAAATCAATCATAAACTTAGAGAAATTAATTTGTTCCACTGTAGTAAGTGAGTGGCAGTTGCCACCTTTAGATCTTAATACCCAGTTTCATTTGCCTGGATTTGCAAGCTCAATAGTGCCAAGGACTGTTACAGCCCCCAAACAAGAATGTTTTTCATTAGTCAAAGACTGTGCTTACAGACAGAAAGGTGTGTTTGGAAAAAAGACTTGAGCATACTACATGATCAGTCAAGAATGTGAGTCACCTGAGGATAGTTCTGCATCTGATTTGATGCTTCAGAAACCAAGTGGTTAACAGTTTATTCTGTTACACTAGAAACTAGGGATGCCTGTGAAGAGCTAGAGGTTGATCTGCCATTACCTTTGCAAATACAGTATAAAGACTTTTCCTTCTCATAATTTGTGGATAACAAATATCTAATAAAATGGAAGCCACTAACACTTGCTCCAATGCATATGGCAAACTATATATCCCTTGGTCCCTACACTCTGTTGCATTAACTGGAGGTAAAATCTGGAGTAAGAGGCTTCTGTGTGTTACCTTTTTAGGAGACCTGCTTCAAAGAAACCTTCTAAGTAATCATCTGCCTGAAAATATGTATGTTAAGTTCAGCAAAAGCCTATCTTTTCTAACACTTGTTTTTTCTTCTTCTTTAAAAAAAAAAATAGATACAATTTTCCTAAGGTTTTATTTCATCCCTGTCAGTTCCTGTCACTTCAAACAAACTGTTAAATATGGAAGGACATGCAAATGCTGTGATCATGGTTTATTTATTAGCAGCCCAAATTGTACTGGGTATGTCAGAGAAGACACAGAAATTCACTGAACTTAAAGAACTTAGAGTCAAATAGTTAAGACTGCAAAAAAAAGAGGAATTCCACTGATACATCAAGGTAGAGGTTTATAGTAGTGAGGCAGGCGTTGGCTAGTTGGGAACCTCACCTCCAGATTTTGGGCTTTGGGATGGAGTTAGTTAAAAATAATAAAACAATCACTTTCACAGTGATAGAAATTTTTCTCTAGGTTGATCTATTCTAAGATGTGTACATTTGAAGCAGTTGTTGCTGTAGCTGTAGCTGTAGTATTTAGTGCACATCGTTGCTGTGAAGGTGTGGAATCCAAGTGTTCCTTTACTTTAGTATGGACATGCTATACTTAGTGTGAGGTTTTCTTGACTGCACCAAACAGTCCAGCATCAGAAGGGCTGCTGACCACAAGATGCCAAAAGCCAAGGCTGAGGAATTAATGGGAGTGAGCCTTGGGACCTACTGAGTTTTACGCTTCGGTTTTCGAGATTGATCAGGGTCTGATCATAAGAAAGGCAAGAGCATTTCTATGAAATAAAATAATAGTACTGTTTTGTCTCAGAGAGCTGTCATGAGAATTAGACTGCAGGGATTCAGTTTCTTCAGTCATAATGTCTGCATCAATATCCAAGACAGACAGATATTTGTGAGAGGCCTTGCAGTGCTTGATTGGATTAGACAGATCAGCTGCACTACAATCATCCCCAAATTCACACAGAAAATACTGAAAGTCAAGGCAAGGGGCGAAAGAGGGTCAACAGTATGTATGGGTCTCAGATATTTCTCTGGGCTTCTGGTTGTGAATTGACATGATAATTCAGGACAGTGCTGGAGTGCAGCAAATCACATTCAGTGTCCCATCCTGCTAGGAAACCTGTCTCCAGCTGCAGTTTTGGAAGGAGGGTATTTCTGCCAGCTGGGGCTTCAATGACTTCACCAGCCAGACCAGAACTGCTGGGAATGCAGAGCTGCACTGGGAGTGACAAACCTAGTGTGGCACAAAACAGACAAGAGGTTTGGCAGTGCAGAACTTGCAGCTCCCACTGCTGAGCTGACTTGTCTGACTTGATAAGCATTTCTTTGTGCTGCATATTGAGCCCTCAGAAATCACCATTCTATTTGTTTCCTTTGCAGGTGAATTTTATACTTTTCATTAGTATTATCAGAATCTTACTGCAGAAGTTAAGATCTCCAGATGTTGGAGGAAATGACCAGTCACAGTACAAGTGAGTGATATTTTTAGACAGTAGAGACAGAACCAAAATAATATCTGTGAAATTTCCCCTGCTGAAACCTGCTACCAACAATTGCTGTGATGTTATAACTACTGTTAATTCAGAACTACTTTTAGATATGGTTTAGTAAATATCTTACTAGTATGATGAAATAGAGATGAATATACCTTTTGTCAAACACATTCAATAAAAACCACTCAGTTTCTTAAAAGACCAACAAGCTACTCTTGAATTTGAGTTTAATCCATGAACAAATATGCTGATGCAAAATATATGGAGAGTAATAACTTTCTTTTAATGTATAAATATTTAATTTTGACATAACAAAAGTTTCAAGATAAAACACCGTGCTTCTCAAAAGCATTTTTTTTTTATTTTTCATTTCTAAAATACTTTTTGTTGTAATATTTACATCTATTTGAAGAGCTGGAAAGAAGTTATGTTGTCCCCAAAAAACCAAAAAATTAAACACAATCTTTTATGTTGTTTCAAGATGTGATCTTTATTTTTCAGGAGGAAAACAAGTGTTTCTGATTTAGGTCAACTTCATTTCTGTTTAGACTTTCTTCTTTTGTGTTTTGGTTTGAACCTTAGATCATAGAATCTATTGTTTCCACAGCTTTAAAATCATGGGATTTTGGAAAGCAATTTAAATACGTTGTTAAAATTGGTTTTGTTCTTTATTATATGGCCATATGAGATATTGTTGTTTATTATAATAGCTGCTGGATACTGAAATCCATAATCAAGTGTCTGTTGTAGTGGAACTTACCTTAAAGCCCAGATAGACACACTGAGCTTGACACTTCAGGGTGTCAATAGGATATTTCAGTGACAAAACCTAAGAGGAACACTGAAAATTCAAACCCATTGGAAATGTGCTCCTGGATAACACCTTTTGTTAATGTAGAAAAGACAGAATTCCTGTCCTCAAGGCAGATAAAACATGGTGTGCTGAAGCAAAGCAAATCTTCAGAGGAGTAGGACTTAAAGTGTTTTGTTAACAACGTGACATCTTTCATACAAAAAGTGAATAATTCATATATGTCACAGAAAAGTCAACATGATTAGACTGACATATGGCTTTGCTTCACAGAGTGATTCGAGAGTAAGATTTGAATCAAGCTAGATGAAATAATGCACTTGCCACATTATTACCTAGCACAATGGCCAACCTATGGGCAGGAAATCCCCTCAAGTTTACTTCTTGAGCCAGGAACCTTTCTTTGTTTCCATGTGGTACTCATGTCCTTTTTGAAAATGAGGCATTCCCTTCCTTTCATTCCTTTCATTATTTTCCACAGTTTGCTGTAGCACTTCGTAATATGAAATGTCCACATAAATAGCAACCTTGTCCTTCATTATTCAGCCCTGTGAATTCTTTGCTTGCAGCATTTGGTTGTGTGATTAAGTTTGTATTGCAGGGACTTTAGCCAATACCCATGGGAACAGGAGGTTAACCTCTTCAAGAAATAATGCATCTGTAAATTAAAGCTCTGGAAGGCTTGTTTTTAAAAATACTAGTGCATTTTTGAAAATACAGAGAAGAATAAGTCTATTTTGTCTGTCTCTTCACTAAAATACATGATAGAGAAAATGGCACGAGCTAGAAAAAAATTATTAAAACAGGAGTGGAATGAAAGTGAAATGTGAGTCTAAAAGGAATCCTACTCATGCAAGTCACCATTTTTCTGAATCTGCTTGTACCTGGTTCCATCCTTTTTGTTGCTCATTTTACTTTTGCAAGGATAAGGTTAAGTTCAAATAAGATCAGTTTTCCGTTTCATTTGGGAACCCAGGAAATTTGCTGCCATCATCTCCTCCAGCTGTAAATGAAATTCTGCTAAGGAAATCCTATTTTTCCTGCACTGGTAGCACATTTAGATGTGAGGGGTTTACTATTCTTGAGAAACTTTGCTGTCAGAACTGATTATTTCCACATAAACATGCAGCCTCTGGGACATTATGAACAAAGGAAGGCCATGAAGACTGACACAGAAAAAATAAACCTCCTTGAAATACCTTGACTTTTCTGCTAAAATGGGTGAATTCACAGCAGCATCCTTTCATTGCTGAATCAAGTTATATTCATCAAGACAGTGATGAATTATGGAACTCAACATTATAAGTTCTGAAATTTTATCTGATATCAGACATGCAAAATCATATGTGACTGGCCCTATATAATGTATAAAGCTGATGTTATTAGAGTGAAATAAGTGACAGATAAGATATAATTAGCAATCGATCATTTCAGTAATTTCAGACAGTTTGTCAGAACTGCACTGCTTAATAATTGAAAGTTCTTCCTTGATTTCAGTAGTGACTTCGGCTAAAATGTGTTATGTAATTGACAACACTGAAAATTAGTTAATGGTGTATGCTTAATACCATCAGGAAAGTTATGAAATTGGGGTATTTGGGAGTAGATCTGAAATTGCCCATGAAAACCTCCCAGTTTAGATTATTCTGCATTACATTTCCAAGGTACTGTTTGCACAGTGTGCATGTGCAATATGCAGACTAAGCATACACATTTGAAGGAAATTAACAGCAATTAATTTCAAAAGAGAGATTTTACCTTCCATACATGAGGATCTCCTCAGTGTGACTTTGCAGGAAGGCATCATTCCTTCCCACTCTGCATGCCAGGTAAAAAATCTCTGCGGAGATCTGGTGGTAGCTCACACACTTTGGCAAGTTTGGTCCTGGGGAATAATGCAGTAAACCCCCCAAAAACCATGCCATGAATCCAGACTGGGAAGTGGCTGTCTGTCCAACAGTCCTACACCCTGCTGCTCTACAGAGGGCACCTGGAAAAGGGACTTTTGGCTTAGAGAGGCTCTGCAGCCTTTCACCAGCTTTTGGAAGAGTGCAAGGTCAGCTAGATCAAGTATAACATGGAATTTAACATGTCAACCCAGCTTTTGGAAGAGTGCAAGGTCAGCAAGATCAAGTATAACATGGAATTTAACGTGTCAATTTATGAAGCTATGATATGGCTAATCTCATAGCAAGCCTGAAAAGAAACCAGTTTGAAATAAATGACTCTTACCGTTTCTAAATCTGTCGAGGTATATGTAAATGACATTACATCAGGTTCTTATCTCAGTAGAACAAGAGCTTAACATTCTTTTTCTCTTTTATTCACCCAGGAGACTTGCAAAATCCACGTTGTTGCTTATTCCATTATTTGGAGTTCACTACACAGTGTTTGCTTTATTTCCTGACCGCAGTTCCAATAGTTATAAAATAATCTTTGAGTTGTGTTTGGGATCTTTTCAGGTAAATTTTACAATTTTTATTCAAAAGAAGTTTGTTTGATAAAATAATCTTTGAGTTGTGTTTGGGATCTTTTCAGGTAAATTTTATAATTTTTATTCCAAAGAAGTTTGATTAACCTAGGGTGATGCTGCCTTCTAACTAAGGAATACTGTCTCTTTCCAGGGGTTGATTGTTGCAGTCCTGTATTGCTTTTTGAACAGTGAAGTAAGTCTCACCTTTCCTATTGAGGATGTTAAATACTGTTTACAGTAAATGTTTATGTGACCATATAATTCCACTCTGATACATGAAGCTGGTTTTGATGTTTACATTCTTTTTGATGGAATATATATGACAGTTTCTCTGCAACAGGAGAAATCAGTCTAGTTGGATGAAGTGTTAAAAGCTGTTAAAAATCTAATTTCTTGCAAACCAAGGTGTTATTATCTTCTGTTATTTAACATGATCTAATTCTAGCTCTGTTAGAAGCAATGTGGACTGTGCAAGTGAGGTGCAACAGGTCTAGAAATTTATCCAAAACCTGAAACACCATTTAGCAAGTACTTAGGGATAATCTTCTGACAGTATCTAACCCCCAGAACAGGAGCAGATTTTCAGAAGTGCTCAGCATGTGGCACTTTCCTAATCTGGACTGAGAAGGATCCAAGGAATTCCTTTTGATGTCAGCCACGATGCAGTGTCTGACTGAAAAAATCTGCATGAAAAAGGCACCTGCCTGCTCAGGGACATTCGGCTGTCCTGAGTGCTAAGCTGGTCTTTGATATTCATGAGATGCCTGATTTGGGGTTAATCATTTGATTCTATGCTTTAAGTACATGTAACTAGTAGCAGGATATCAAAAGCTAATGCTGCAGCACAAATGATAGGAAACTGATTTTGAAAGTGGCCTTGGGGCATCTCCACACAGGCAGTGTAGACACATTCTTTGCCTCAGTTTTGTGATCTTTGTAAGAACTGATTTGATGCTCCAGAGGGAAGGGACACCACGCAGAGGGACTGTGGCAAACTTGTGCAGTGGGCCTAGGAGAACCTTCTGAACTTCAACAGGGCCAAGGGCAAGGTCCTGCACCTGGGTCAGTGCTGACTTGGAGATGAAGGGAGAGTGAGAAGTACATCAGAGAAGGATTTGGGGATAGTAGGGGATGAAAAATGGGACATGAACTGGCAATGTGCACTCGCAGCCCAGAAAGCCAACTGTATTCTACATCAAAAGAAGTGTGGCCAGCAGGTCAGGAGAGGTGATTGTCATCAGTAGAAGACATAGACCTGTTAGCATGAGTCCAGAGGAGGGCCACACAAATTAGCAGAAGGATGGAACACCTGTCGTATGAAGACAGGCTGAGGGAGTTAGGATTGTTGAGGCTGGAGAAGGGAAGGATCTGGGGACACTTAACAGCCTTCTAGCACCTAAAAGGGGGATATAAAAGGATGATGGTGAAAGACTTTTTTAGCAGGGTTTGTAGTGACAGGACAAGGGGTAGCAGTTTTAAAGTGAAATGCAGTAGATTTCGATTGCATGTAAAGCAAAAGGTTTTCTATGAGGGTGGTGGAGACATTGTAAGAGGCTGCTCAGGCAAGTTGAGGATGCCTCATCCCTGAAAGTGTTCAAGGCCAGGTTGGATGGAGTTCTGAGCAAACTGCTCTGGTGGAAGGTGTCCCTGCCCCAGGACTACATGATCTTTAAAAGTCCATACCAACCCAAACTATTCTATGATTCTATTCCAAGAGATCCCCATTTGACAGCCAATACATGTGGGAAAGTTCCTCACATGAAAGAACATTTTCAGTTCATATTGTGCTGCTTTTTTTTAAAACACAGGTGCAGGGGGAGCTGAAAAGGAAGTGGCGCAGTCTGTGCTGGAAGCAGACAGCAGGCAGAGACTACAGACTCCACAGCTCTTCAATTTCTCGAAACGGATCAGAAAGTGTTTCTCAGCTCCACCGGAATTCAAGGGCTCACTCGTTTATGCAGACAGAGACCACCATGATATAAATGAGCTAGGTCCCCAAAACATGAAAAACCGTGGGATGTATCATTCATTATGCAGCTTGATGTGATATTTTATAAAATGTACAGTTTAGTGCTTTGCTTTTCTACATGTTGGTGTCTGGGAAATTGGTTTGTGCAGCCAACCTGTTGATAACAGAGAAACCTGCCCCATGGGTGCTTTCTGTTTTCCTTAAATGGTATTCATATTAATTCTGATGTTCTCTTGCAGTTTACTAGCCATAACAATTCAAAATTCAAAAAACTTATTTACCAGGATGGTCCCTTTACCCTCCAACGTGGCTGCAAGATTGATGCATGGTGTCCTGTTCAATGCAGACTGCTTTGGCACATGTTGTAAGGGTTAAGATGAGAAGCAAGAAAATTTCTTAACACTTTATTTTTACCTAAGGAAACATTTTTTTCCTTAAGGATTAGGAAATTCCTTTCTAATTGTGGAAAATAAAAATAAAGAAATCTAATTGACTGCAGTGGGAGTTCAGTGTGCTAATCCAGGAAATCATGGACATTATTTATGCTGAGAGAAAAAGGTACTACTTCTCAGCTAATTGTATAAAATTCAGACATTATGTTCTACAGAGTTTGATTCCAATCCTGTTGTTACTTTCAGAAGTGCCTATTTTAATGTTTATGTGCAGAAAGTTGGGCTACCCTTACAGCCCATACAGAAAAGACTGCTATAAAGTTTTGATTAAAACTTCAGCATTTTCTAATAGTGCTATTCCAATCATGTGTTCTCTTCTGTTTAAAGTCAGGGATTTGTGTTGATCCTTCATTAAGCAATTTTCTGAAGAGTTGTTTTATTGCTAAAGCAGTCTGGCATAGGATAAACAACCTTGGATAGCATATTATCCATTGAAAATACCATTATTTTACGGTATTTTCATTGAAATGTGTCTCTGGGACTACATACTTGGCAGCTAAAACAAGGAATATTGCAATAAAGTTAGAACTCCCATCTTAGGAATAATGTAAATTCTTTTAGCTTTATTGGATTCTGTATCTATTTGAGATGATGTAAAATTCAGTCCTGACCATGACTCCAGAAAAAAAAAAAATTAGACAGAATCCCTAAAAATTGCCATAAAAGGCATAAAGAAGGAATTCTCAACAATGCCAAGCCTCTTATGTAGCCACGTTGTAAAAAAATAAAGGCATAGAACTCACAGAGTCTTATAAAAATACACAGAACATTTGCACTCTGTAAAAGAAATAAACCCAATAATGTTTACTTCCCATGTCATGTTTAACCGTGTCCTCTCTACAAAACAAGCAGGAATAATATAATTTTACATCAGTACCTCCATAAAAGCAATTGTCCTGTTATTTCAGGCAACAGATTGTATGGAGCTAGCAGAATCCAAGGTCCATAATCTTGTCAGCTAGAGGGAAGAACAGCAGCAAGGTCATGTCTTGGCAGGCATACATGTACATTCTTGAAAACATTACTAGTACTGGGAATATTGTCAGCAGCTGTCAAAGTGTCCCTGCAACTCTTGGCCTGATTGAATCTAGCTATTTATCAGTCAAATACGATTTATTTTAATGAGATTACCCTGGAGTGATACAAAGTTTAGTCAGATCAAAGATAGAAAAAGACCCGTGGTTCACATGAGTACTGCAGAACAGGTCCATGGAGAATGTTGTGTGTCACCAGACTTCATACAGCAGGTGTCATTTGCATTTAGCAATAATCATTTGACAAATTGCTACTTTGCCAAATTTGACTTTAAAGATGCTATCAATCACGTCCAGTCATCCAGAGTGTTTTCTGCTGTCACTTGGTAAACTAGGAGGTTCTGGATGGAAGTGGGCTGCCCAAGGACAGTCCCATGTGGTCAAAAGATACATCCCTACACTTGTATTTAAACTAAATAGACGTCCAAAGTCTTTAGACTTAGAAACCGCTGCTAAATTTCAGTATTTTTCCTGGATCTCTGGGCAACCTCATCACAAACTTACCTGCAAATATATGAAGATCCATTGGAGCTCTGGGCTCTGTTTCTATACCTAAATTAAACATGTACTTTAGGCTTCTTTGTCTGAAGTGGCATTGGGACTGCTCAGCTCCCTGAGATAGGACATGCAGGATGTTCTTTATCCCCAGAATTTCTAGGGTAGAAAGGCACATGTGACAAGCATTCTAGCATGCTCATCTTTTTGCTCAAATGAGGTTCTAGGAGTCAGTTGGCACACAGAGAGAACAATGGTATAGAAACAGAGGCTTCAAGCAGTCATTTCCATCAGTCTGTTCTGCATGAGGCATCACCAATTATATGTGTTTATAATTCATTGCATCCTAGAGAAAACCATCTTTGTTCTAATTAGATGAGAATGGAGAAAATCTGCATTTTAATTATTTCTGGGTTATAAAACAGAAAAGCCTTAATAACAAAATACATTTTAAGTTGCAACAAAACAGCATCATTTCCTGTAACAGGTTGCAGATACATTTGGAGTTGATTCTGCTTTTCCTGTAGGGCATAATGTCATATGAGACCATGAAGTTGCACCACTGGGAGAACATCAATGTTCTAAGTTTGTAAAGGACTATGTGGACATGAAAAGAATGGCACACAGGTGAAAGGGGTAACTGCATATATTTTTCTTTCAAACCAGTGAAATTATAGTACTTTGTAGACCCTCATCCCTCTATTAATAATCTAAATTCAGAAAATACATTTTCCATGAGACAATTTGACTTCCTAAAGCTCTGTGCAAGCATTATCATGGCAGTAAAGGCAGTAAAGGCCCAGAGGGCTTTACTCATCTGCTTTTACTCCCCAAAACAAAGTCTGATTTCCAAATAATTTTATGCAATGTTACAGCAACAACCCTCTCATCACCAATTTGACTTCCAACTGCCTTTTTCCACACAGGTACACGTCATATTGAAATGTCTGTAAAATGTGTAGAACAGCTTGACAAATCTAGAACTTTCCACACAGGTACACGTCATATTGAAGTGTCTGTAAAACATGTAGAACAGCTTGACAAATCTAGAAGTTGATCAATGTTTTGCACCTTTACAACACCCAGAACAAGATATCTTCTCACAATGAAAGGGAAAGCAACAGACACAGACCCTCAGCAAAGCAGCCACTCTGTCTGGGACAGCTTTATGGAATAAGGCATTGCCAGGTGCACATGTCACACACTCCATATTTAAGAACTTAAGATGAGTCATCTGCAATGTGTGTCTCCTATTTTTGTGAGTTCTAAAAAACATCTGTTGACTGTGAATTTACTCATTTCAACAAAGCTGTTGTGGATAAAGTCCAAATTCACTGTATGCAGATTTTTTCAGACATTGCTAATGAAGAGTCAAGCACTAAATATGTCTAATAAAAAGGAAGAACCAGCAAGAAATCTGCAGAGAAATCTGCTATGTGTGTTGTCAGAAGAACCAGCAAGAAATCTGCAGAGAAATCTGCTATATGAGTTGTCTGAGCAATTACTGTCCATGCATAGTGATACAGGAAATACTTTTACTAACAAAAGTACCTTCATGTTACCATGAGTGCCTATACAAGCTGTGGGCTGTCAGTACTACCCTGACATGATCAAATAGCAGAAGTTAGTATGCAGTGCTATTCTGTTGGGAAAAAAAAATCAAAAAGTGTGCTAACGTGTGTTACAAGAAGCAGTGCTATTCTGTTGGGAAAAAAAAAATCAAAAAGTGTGCTAACATGTGTGTTACAAGAGTACATCAGGATACATTTAAAAGGAGCATTCTATGGTATGTTCAGGATACATTTAAAAGGAGCATTCTATATTCTATAACCACTCTGTGTTGAGTCTGTTTCTGCCCAATGAGAACAGTATGTAGTTAAATCTACATCAGTAACATTTCCATTGTCAGCTAAAACAGTGACTGAAATGTCCCAACACCCTCTATTTGCCAAAGCATTGTACTAAGTTTATGGTAACCTGCATCTTTTTTTCGGTCCTGGCACATTAGTGTGAGTATTGCTTTGAAATTCTCTTTTGTCATCTTTGTTGATACCTTTTTATCTGTCAAGTATGGTAAAAATTAAAGATTATGTAAATGAATGTGATTATTTTTTACAAAATGTACAGACTATGATGTTGTATAGATTAATGTGTGTAAATAGATTTCATACTGCAATTCACTATACTTTTCCTCTGGTTTTGCTCTCTTGTTCTTTTCTAGTTTGGGGTTTTAATGTCACATACCTAACAGCCTTCTCTGAGATGTTATATATAAAGCTGTGAACAAAGAAGCATTTACATCTCTATGCCATTAGAGATAATAGTAATTAATAACACCATAATGGACTGAAGAGGAATCAGAGAATAAAAATTTTAAAAGTTTTGCACAGAAATTCTGGTATTTAATCAGTTTAAAAAGTTGTGCAAAATGTTTTCATCTTTCTTACAGATTTAGTGGGTCAGGGCCATGCTGGCGGATGTGGCTGAGTTAATTATTTTGCTTTTTAATCATAGAATCATAGAATTTAAGGGTTGGAATGGACCTTACAGATCATCTAGTCCCAGCCCTCCCTGCCATGGGCAGGGGACACCTCCTCACTAATGCAGCAGCTGTAAGACACACACACCTAGAGCAAACCCAGGTGATCCCATACGTTGTGTATGTCAACACCTCCATGGGCAGCAGCTGTTTTTGTCTTATTATGGCTTGCTTAAAACTTGATTGCTCAGTCATCTCTCAAAAGTACAGTATAATGGAGCTAGAACCATAGAAGCTGTGAAGTCTCTCCTGTAGAGGCAACACCATATATCATGTTTTTCTTGCCTAAAAGATACATATCTATTCATATGTCTGTAATGGGAACAGGCACAGAGTGGCAACAGACCAGCAGTGGTGTGTTGCTAGTTGGGCCAGAGAGAGAGGTGAGCACGTGGCACCTCCTGGGGCAGCATACCTGCCCTGGCAGCAACACCGAGTGGGGGGAAAGGATGGAGCCCCTTTGGCTGTCTCTCAGAGACCAGAGTCTGTCCCTTCTGTGTGTGTTTATGTGTCACAGAAGGTGCACCATTCACAGGGCTCTTCTGTCCCCTTTGGGAGACCTGAGCTCTCATCCTCCCCCACCTTATGTATGTGCCTGTATGAGCTGCATCAGCCTGGACCCTTTTGCAATCAATTCTGTATCTGCAAAGCACTTCAGTATACTTGCCTACATGCATGTCCTCTCACTCATTGCCAGAAGGGTAGGCCCACAACCAGATCACCTTGATGTTCTGTGGCCAATGAGTCTGATCATGCAGGAGAGCCAAGGTGCAGATTAGCAGGGACACTGGCAATGGGACTGATTCCCATCAGTTCTGGCAACAGCACCTGCAGGTTTCCATGGCAAGTCTTGTGTCCTGTCAAAGGCAGAAAATGGAAAGTTCTGGATAACAGCTAGAGAATGGATATCACCAGAATGAAAGGAAAAGTCAGTGTATTGGGGAGGGGGAGAGTAAAGGACCCTGCACTCCAGAAGCAGCTTAAAGAAGCAAACACTTTGATGACAACCTCTGCATG